TCAGTTTCAAACTGTTACATTGTGACTGAGCAAATACGCATCTTGCCAAATAAAACTTTTTTTTCCTTAGATCAAAACTAGCGTTTTCTGAATTATGATTTTTATTACTATTGAAATGAAATATTGTCTCTATCTTGTTAGTCAAAGTAAATTGATGCTCACAAGACGTGCAATAGCATAGTGACACCCAACCAGTCAATGTGCTATGGCATATGAGTGTGTCGTGAACGATCATCAGAAGTGTCGCATGAAATTATCCAGAGTCAATTATTTGGATGAAAAGTTATTTATTTTCTCCAAATAATTCTTTGTTAATTCATCTATATACCAACCATGTATAATACCAGGTAGAACGACCTAAAGCTTTGACAGAAGTTACGTAATTGACCCATGTATCCAATTTTTTATTAATCGTTTGTCCCGTGAGATTTTTATCGATGTGAAAAGTGTGCCATGGGTAAAGAAAGGTGGAGAAACACTGCAATAGCATATCAGTTTAAAGAACTTTGTCAAGTAAAAATGTGCAATTAAACATCATGAATACAAACATGACTTTTCGAATACAGTCCTAAGCAACCAATCAGATTTTGTTTTATCCAGACTTAAGAGAGAAGTGTGAAACGAGAACAAATTATGTCAGTAACAAAATTCTTGCATGCATATGTAGTTACTGACAGAATCAGTTGCAGATACACCGTAGCATGTTTGCCCATGAGAGCATTATAGTTCTAGAAACCCTCACTGCATTTTCTTCCAATTAGACATGGCTGATGCACTAATTGAGGAATGTGTGATAATACCTCAACTATGGTTGAAAGACGAATTTTTAAAAAAACGATCCAGATTTTTCTAAAGAAACTTACCGCAAATCGGAGCAGGAGACAGGATTTTCCAACACCAGAGTCACCAATTAGGAGCAGTTTGAATAAATAGTCACTGTAAAAGAAAGATAGAATATGTGTTGGTGAATAAAGGCCAAAAAATGTAAGTATTTGTCATTTATTTGTTGATGAATTATATTCTTCCCGAGTCATTAAAAAAAAACCAAATACAATAGCTAAGGAAGCGACAGGAAGTTTGACTGAGAATTACAATTCATAACAGCTTATATGCATGACAGCATTGGCACACTTCAAGAAAATATATTTACACAGAAGGTGACACCCTCTTTAATATTCTGGTTAAGTATATGTGCGTGTGGATAAAGTATTTAAAAAAAATAGTTTTAAAAAGATAATGAATGATAATGAACTGTCAAACAAGTTGTCAACTGTGTGCCAATGTGCATTATTTGAAAATAAAAACAAAAACAAAAAAAACAGCATAATATTACATTGATGACAAGCCCTAGACAACAAAAGCTGAAGTAGCAGTAAGGTAATTGCTCAATTCTGCTGTGGCGTAATTGTAGGCATGTCCCTGGCATGTGATCTTCTCATGACCAGGAACAGTGTTAAGAGGCTGCTGCTTCGACTCTCCTCACACTATATTATTGAAATACATGAACAAAGATCAAATGTAAGCCACTCATTGAACTTATAACCTTCATTTGACGATGTAATGACATTCATATTTTTGCTCGATCCAACGACAGGCATAATGCCCTCAATTGTCTCGCTGTAGTGACTGTTTTAAGTTTAAGAAGGGAGCCTGGTCGAGGTGCGAATTTCATATCAGCGTAAAATTCAACGAACCAGTGCCACCGGTTCCTTAAGCGTTCACATAACAGGTGACGACGTGAATAATAAACATTTGGTTTTCATGATTTACTCTCGTCTAACAAGAACGATTCTTAGCTCCATGTAGTCGGGCTCAGGTTTACATCAAAGCCTCCAGATGTTGTGGCTTTCTCCCAGGAGCTAAAAACAGCAGTTAGTAAATTAATATGTAAACGTCAGTCTGGAGGGTAAAGGCAAAGCTGTCAAGATGTTGACCAATGCATGTTTAGGTCCCCTCCAACCTCCCACGACCATCTATGTCAAAGTAGTTAAAGGGTTTCTTTGAAAAAATAAAGCCGTCGCTGAACATAAATAACAATAAACAGTGTGTTCGTCAGACTTCGGTGGTAGGTTCCGCTGGACAGTCAGCTGATGTAAGCTGCTAATGTAGCTTCGCTTCACAGACAATGCTTACTAACTTGTCGATTGTAATACCAACCAACACACTCGAACGTGACACGACATTCTTAATAATAGTACTTACTATTCGGGATTCATTGTGGACTTGTTGAAAACTGTGTTGCCGTCTCGTGGGGAGGTTTGATATGATGATGTGGAAACGGCAGCGATGGCTAGCTTAGACGGCCGGCTAGTTGTTTCTCAGTACAAAATCCAAAATGGCTGCGATTCCAACCAGGAAGTAGTTAATAATAGCCAACTCAGCTAGATACACGATATAAAATAACAAACTGTGCGTAGCCTGCTGACCTTTTTGTTTTATAAAAAGTCAGCTGATGGTAGCATTATCCGCAAACCTAATCAAAAATGCTTATGCGTTGAAAACCCGGCGTCCGTTCTCTCTGTAACCGGGAAGTCGTTACTGCATCAGAAAACTGTCACTGACCCGCTTACGTCATTTAGTGAAACGTGGCAAAGCGATTCTCCCGTGACAACCAACATGTAGTCCAAGTCCTCTGGCAGATAACGTGCCCATAAATTTCCAAAGCGTAAAAGCTGTAGCCAATAAAGTCGATGTTAATTGTTTTTGTCCGGTCTTGACTTGACAATTGTATAATCATTGTCGGGTTTTTTTTTTCCTTTTTTTGGAGGGGTGGGGGTCTGTAATCCGTGAAACATTTACGGGTCTCAAAATAATTTCAAGTAAACGTGTAAAAATCAAATTATTTAATGAGACGTACAAACAGTCACATGTTTTAACTGCTGTTGACAAGTCATGCCAGATGATTCCGAAATGACTAGCCACATTTAATGTAATTTGCATGTGAGTGTCATGAGTCATGTACTTTGCATGGGTCTAACTTCTCTTGGGAAATAGTTTTAGGAAGTAATACTTCTGTTTGTCAGAGCTACCCTATTTAAAAAAGGTTTTTGCTGTGTTTTTGTGCTGTTCTTGCAGGTATACCAGTAAGACCAGCGCAAAAACACAAAAGTAGCATATTGTTGTGGGCCTGCACAAAGCATAACTGGCTGTCATTTTTCACTATTTTTCGAAAAGAAGAAAAAATAATTTTTTTTAGAACAGACATTGGTGTTGTTTTCCTCTCGTTTACTTGTTCACTCATGTAGTTTAAGGTTTTGTTAATGTGAGTTCTAATTTATTTTTCTTATCTTCCAATAATATTAAAAATTGACTTAGGCAATGGCAGCACGGTAGTTGACCAGTTGGCACAACCGCCTCACAGTGCAAAGGTGAAGAGTTGCATTCGGTTGGATTCCTCTGTGGACTTTGCATGTTCTCCCTGGCCGGGCCTGCATGGGTTTTCTCCGGATACTCCGATCTCCTCCTACATTCCAAGACATGCATAGTAATGGAACACTCTAAATCAGGGGTGTCAAACTCATTTCTGTCGCGGGCCACATTTTAGTTACCGTTTCCCTTGGAGGGCTGTTATGACTGAAACCAAATAAAGAAGTCAAGAATAACTGTTGATTCAACTCTTGTTTAAATTACTCTCATAAGGGTTTTGGTAACATGAAAATGCTTAGAATGTCTCTTTTATTTATTACATATGAGAATTAAAATTTTTGGTAGACATTTTAGATAGCACCATGGAAGTTGACATGTTTGATCTGCTTTCACAGGCCACATAAAATGATGTGGCGGGCCAGATCTGGCCCCCGTATCTTGAGTTTGACATCTGTGTTCCAAATTGTCTCTTGGTGTGATTATGATTGCAAATGCTTGTTTGTCTATGGGTACCCTGTGATTGGCTGGCAACTAGTTCAGGGTGTACCCCGACTTCTGCCTGAAGATAGCTGGGAAAAGCTGCAGCATGCCTACGACCCTCATGAGAATCAGCGGATTAGAAAATGGATGGATGTATGGACTTAGTCAATGATAATATGTGGCCAACGATATGCTATGAGCACTTATGCTATTGTTTTTTTTTTGTTGTTTTTTTTGTTTTTTTTAAACAAGGTGGTCTGTTTATGATTGACGCAAACAGTGGGTATGTTTTAATTCTAAGTGTTGTTTATGTAGTTGCAACATATCATTCTGAGATTGGTTTCCAATATTTTTTGCACCACTGTGAAGAAAGATCAACATCCAACACATGAAATTGTCTTTCAGGCGCTGTCAAGTCTGCACTGAAAAAAAAAGTTAAATACAGTTTGGTTCAGTTTAACAGTTCTGTCTGATAAATTTCTGAGTTTGTCTTCAATTTGCCTGCTTGACTTCATCTCTACTGGTCTACTTAAAGATGCTTCACAGTGTGCTTAAAATGATCAATAGATCCTTATTGGCACGCAATGTAACACAGTCATTTAAAATGATATCAAACTTCTTCTTAAAAAAAATAAAATAAAATCTATCACTCAGTCATTTTAGCCAACTCAGACCAATATCTAATCTTCCGTTCCTGTCCAAGATTCTTGCCAAAGCAGATGGCAAACAATTGTACATTGAAGAGTATCAGTCTGGATTTAGAACCGAAATGACGCTAGTGAAACTAACGGCCTCCCCACTGCTTTTGATAAATGCTCAATCTGCATCTTGGTACTTAATGCATCTTAAGTACATGACCGTGACATCCTTTTACAGAGCTTAGAGCATGCCATTTGTTATTAAAGGCACCATGCTAATTTGGTTTCGATCAGATTGCTCACTGTTTCAGGGATGAGAGTGGCTAGTGATGAAAAAAAGCGGAAGAGGCGTGGCCGGGACGGGGGTGTGGCCTGGACGGGGGCGGGGTCACTAACAAAAGTGGCACTTAACATGCTGAAGATGAAGTGTATTCAATTTACACACTATTTGAAACTTTAACAGAAAAAAATCCCAAGATTTTTCACTATTCTTTCATGTGAAAATTTGCGCAATTTTGCTTATGCATTTGGTGAGCACCAATATGTAACTTCAAATTTGCTGCTCAAAATCAAAACTAAAACAGGAAACACATTCCCTGCCATATTTAAGATTTGTTCATTACTTGTATTCATAAAGTGTTGTGTAAATGTGATAAAACGCTGTTGATTCTTACCTCATACAGTGATAGTGAAGTCCCACACTGTTTACTATGGGGTATGAATGTATTTTATTATATAAAGTCTATTTACAGTATATACAACAATATACAGTTTCATGAGGTAGAATACTTTCTTTTCTCTTCATTTTAAGCTTTTTAGCAAGCGCTAAAAGCTTATTGGTCCTCTCCGTCTTTTTCCACTCTCTTTTTAGCCAACTCCTCTTGTTTTTACACATGCTCCAGGCTGTCGAAAAGCGCTTGAGATCGAGTAGTTACTTTTCAGTAGGAATGTCTGTTTTCGGTGTTTCACCGAGGTTGCGTGACTCTGTAAAGCTTTCCATCCTCTCGATCCGTATAGAATGACATCGTCACACACTGTACACAGAGCTTTACCGGCGACATCGAGCTTTTTCACGAAATCCGACACAAGCACAATGGTTCCTCTTTACTGTTTCCTACTGGGGACACCGTCAGCTTTCTATCCAACCAGTCCCATCTAAACGTGTTTCTCAGATCCGCATCTATCTGACGCACTTTAGCTTCGTCGCGAGTCTCGATAACATTTGGCATTCGCGAGAAAGGGGTTTCGGAAGGCGAACACGGATTGGTTGTGATTTGCATTGGCCGATATAGTGACCAATCACAACAAGTAAGACATTGGTTTTAGGAAGTAACGACAAACAAACGCTTCGCGATAAAAACGGGATTCAAAGTGGATGCTTATAAACGTTACTTGTAAACATTACGAGCCCCGAATCTGCCGAACACTTCTTCCATAAAGAAAGAAATCTTCCATTAAATGGCTTTCTGTTGGCCTAAGACGTGCAAATCATTAGTACTGTATGTCTATGGGGAATTTGTGTCACCTTTTGAGGACATTATAATAAAGGGTCTTCAAGGATTTTGAAGTCAAATAAATATGGTATCTTTGTGTTTGAAGATGTCTATATTTGGGACTGGAGTTGGTAGAAAGCAGGGATGTGTCCAAGGACCGGGAATCCGAGGCCAAGGCCAAGGCCAAGGACTTGGAAAATTTTCCGAGGCAAGGCCAAGGCCAAGGACTTGAAAAATTTTCCGAGGCCAAGGCCAAGGACTAAGGACTTGCTTCCAAGGCCAAGGCCAAGGACCAAGGACTTGCCTCCAAGGCCAAGGCCAAGGACCAAGGACTGATTTTGAAATTGAGGCCTAGCCGAGGACATGTATAAAACAATGCTATCATACCACTTGGCAGGTCCTCATGATTTGCAACACCCCTCCATCATAACCCTTTGCACTCCCTAACGCTTGAATGAAGTGATTTTATTCAAAGAGTAGAACAGTCAGGATACGTGTTATTTATACTGAGAAAAAGAAATAAAATCATATGATATACATTTATGAATTAATGTTTTAGTGCAGTAGTTTCTTAATATGAAGTAAATCAACACTCAACAGGCATGACATGGCACGGAACACAAGTTGAGAAATGACTTTGCATAGACGTCAATCACTGACTGCAGAAAAAGCGGTAATCTCTCAGTGATCATTTTACAGTTTACCTGCAGCGAGTCCCAGGGACTCACTGATCAGAAAAGTATGAGTCCCATTATGCATTGAGAGAGTCCCAAATTTCGAATTCCGAAATGCTCTACTTATTCAATTGCATATAATAATAACACAAACAACATATACATACAATTATAAACAAATGCTGCAAAAATTTAAATAATTCAGGAGCAGGCCTGAGGATTTC